GGGGGATTGTGTACCAATGAGGGAGTTTTTCTTTTGCTTTTCAAGGAGAGGAGCAAATGGGGGGGAGGGGTTTGTGCAGGGAGAAGGGTGCAACAATTAAAGAATGGAATCCCAAAATCTTTGTAGATGTTCATTGAAATGAAAAATAAACAACCTAAATTAAAAAAACAAAAACAAAAACAAAACCCCAACAACAACAAAAAAACCAAAAATCAACACCAGAGCTATAAATTTCAAATTGATGAAGACTTAAAAATTTTTCCGTTTAATATGGTTGTGTTTAAATTGAGTTGGCAAAAGCTAATCTGGCCGCTGACATACAGTTTGATCTATAACTGGAGCATTTGCTTTAGTGCTCCCTCAGGCTAGGGAACAAAGAAAGCTTCAATGAAATAATTAATCACAACCCTAAAGATGCACAAATGTTATTTTATGGGTTTTGGCCTGCTTCCTCTTTCATGCGTGGGGTACAGAAAGACTGTGTGGTTACATGACTCAATATGCTGTCTCACTGAAAAATGAGTCCTTATTTGAGTAACATTTGTTAAGAATGGAATGAACAGTATTTCTACTCAAGAACTCTCTCTCTTTCAGTCTTGTTATATAATATTACTGTTTTTTAAACTAAAAAAAAAAAGAAGAGAGAGTAAGTCCTCAGCAAGATGGAATGACACAGTGACTGTAACAATGGGATCAAGTATTTTGTGAAGAAGGTAAGATTTAGATCCATTGTCAAAGGATGGCTATGAGTCACACCTGACTCAATGGCACTCAACAACAACAGAAGCAAATGAAAAGGAAGGGGAACTTTGCAGTTTTATCCATCCCTCAGCTGCACAGTGGGAGAAAGAAGAATGAAATTCTCCTATGCATTTTACAATCTTCAAAAACTCACTGGAAGGTAAACTATGAATTAGTCTGACTTGACAATACATAACAACAATATAAAAGGAATTAATCTCCATGACATGGAGATTCAAATATCTTTGTTTTCTCTAAGGCCAGAAAAAAATTAAAGTGTTTCCATTTACAAGAAGTACTAGTAAGTAGCAGCCAATGAACTGAATAACTATTATAAAGAAAACATGCAGCCGCCAGCCAGAACACCTCCGGCAGCGGGAACACCTCCGGCAGCGGGAACACCACTGCCAGTGGGAACACTGCCGCGAGGCAGGCCAGGAAAAGACCCAGCAAGAGCAACAGTCTACCAGCCACCGTGGAATTCCAGAGGAGCAACGACTATCCACCACTGTGTGACCCTCCCCTGCAGCCCATGCCTGAGTGATCCCCAACACACAGGGTGCTGGTACATAAACCCCCAGCAGTGCCCAGGCCCCGCCCCCTACGTCTTGATGGTAGTGTCCAAGCCCTGTGGCTCCTTTGCACCCCTGGTCCCTTGCTTCCCCCATTCCCTCCCCCCCTTGCAGCTTCACAACCACACACCCCAGCACCCGCCACAGCCATGTGACCTCAGGGCACCACAGTGGATAAAGCCATCACCCAGAGCTATCAGCTGAGCTGCTGTGGAACTAATCTGGCAGGAGAAAGACAGGTAGGATCCTGGCTGAGTTTACTGGGGTATTGCTGATTACCTGGCAGGGTATCTAAGGGCGTGCCAACTGGGGGAGAATTTGGCCAAGCTCTCTTAGGCTATACCAACTGCCCCAAACAAGTCAGCCAGCTGGCTCCTGTGGACTCTGCAGACCAGCCAGAGGCTAGTGGGTCGGTGGGAATTTGACCTTGACTTTAGGATCCTGTTAGATCCAGGACTCTGCTGGAGCAGGGGCTGTTGTGTAAGGGCACCTGCTAAGCGCCACCAAGCAGGGAGTACTGAGAAAACCATTGGGTAGGAAACAGACAGCAGGAATTTGAGTAGGGACCCCAATTGTGAGCACGCTCAGACAGCGGAGGTTCAAGCAAGGTCCCCCAAGCGTTTGACCTGCTTGCGATCACCCCATCCCTTTGCCTGCCTCACCCCATTTGGCTCCACACCAGTGCCTACACGTCTGGGCAATCAACTTGCCTTTAATCAGGAGC